CGGTGTCGCCAGCAAACGCACAAGAATGATTCCCTGCCCCCGGCTCACCACACCCGCTACACCTCCTCCCGCTACGAACCCCCTCCCGGCTGTCGCCGTTGTTATTGGCTACGAGTCCTGGCAGCTGTTAGTGTGGGGGAACACATCCAGGATCCGAGATATTCTTTTCAGATTTCTGAGACTCGGAAAGACCGGGTCTCGGGGCCTGGAGACTCAGGGAGAGCCGCTCGCTACTCGAGTGGTTTTCTTGCCATGAAATGCAAGTCTTTAGGAGACGTCTCAGACCTTCAAACAAAGACGCCGTCTCCAAAGTCATCGTTTTGCTAAGAGTGTTCACACCCTTACGGCGAGTGTAGCTGCCGTCTGTGGTTTACGTCGTTATCGTGTTATTAATATGAATACTATAACCAGTGAAATGTTTAAACGATTAATAAACGATTGTATAAATTCACGAATGTCACGTCTCACGGTCGCTGTGCAGACTGGCGCACAGGGACGGCTGTCGCTGGGGGTGCCCACACACAAGACAAAGACCCCCCGTGTAGCCTTCACAGACTGATGGGGCAAGTGCTGTTAGCGAGCAGCACCTATGAAGGCCGGCAGGGAACACGAGGGGGTGGGTGGCCAGCACCACGCCCGGGCGCCTTTGTCTCCCCAGTGACGATGTTTACTACACACAGCACCGGGTGCCCATTTGAGGCTGAGTCGACCTAGGGGAGGCCCAGCACCGGTCCAGATAATCGTCACTGGCGGTGTTGGTGGCCGTGAGCGGGAATCAAATTCTGGTCTCTGCCGGGTTCTTAGCGCAGCGTGGCGCTAACCGCTGCGCCACCACTCCCCACAGAGAGTCAGACAGGCAGACGCGTCCACAGCAAGTCGGGAGGCAGGAGGAAGACTTCTTGACAGTGCTGACGAATCTGATGGTGCTGACCAATCTGATGGTGCTGCTTGTTGCTGCCACCATGGCCACCATCGCCGCCACCTGCGGAACGTGACGGCACTCAATGTGCTGACGCTGTGGTGGGCTGACTGCGACACACAAGTCCGCTGGGCCCAGCGAGTCAACTCATCGTCACGGTTCGTTTTCGTGACAAACCTTGAGACCAATTGGCTGGGCACCCGGGAAAATGAGCTTTCTTTAGCTCATCGGATTCCTCCAGGAATCAATATTCTGAATCTGTGGTGGGTTAACGATACATTCATATTTACGAATAATATTGGTCGTGAAAGCTGATTACTACACGTTAAACAGAGACACCGTTCAGACACAGACACACAGAGACACAGACAGACACAGACAGACACAGAGACACAGACACACAGAGACACAGACACACACACACAGACAGACACAGACAGACAGAGACACAGACACACACAGACACACAGACACAGACTCTGCGTGTGTGTCTCTCTCGCTTCCTCTCCCAGTCTGGGTCGCGTTTGAGACGCGTGCTGAGGTCCGGGGCAGGCCCAGACACGGAGCGACACGAGAGAGAGAGAGGAGAGAGGAAGGGGAGACAGGTTTGGAGGGGGGGCAACCCGGACTAAACTGATTTGTGAGCTTCGCAGCTATTTCTCAGCGACTTGGCCATCACAACTGACAGCAGCTCAACCCCGTGGCTGATTAACCACCACCACCGTGTGGACATTCACACAACCAACAACTCCTCTGAACGCGTGGTGACGTTGATTCTACACGTGGAGGGGAAAGCCGGAGGAGGACACGGAGACAAATCCACGACCTCCTGTAGACCAGGCGAGGTAGTCAACATCTCCTGGCCACCGCGACATCCTCCAGGAGGAGAGAGAGGGGGGAAGTGGAGGGAGAGGGGAGTGGAGAGAGAGACGGAGCCTGGGACACGGGGCCGGTGGCTCGGACCGTGGCCGCAAAGACAGAGCTGCAGTCGCTCCGGGTGGCTGCCCGGATCCTGGCCGAAGCCGAGGGGGCCTTCTCAGCGGCAGCGGGGAGAAGGCCCCCATTGGCGTTGGGGATGACGAGGCCCCTCTCGGTCCCCCTCCACCGGAGCTCTCCGTCGTGCCGCTGCGTCACCAGTGCCGCCAAGCGAAGGCGGATCACGACCCGTGCCGGCTGGGAGACCTACCGGAGGCGGCCTTCGCGAACGTCAAGAGGAAGGTGCTCCACTCCTACATGGTCCGGTGTCACCAACAAGACACCCCGAGGAGCCACAAGGACGAGGCCTGGAGGAGAGACCTGCTGCCCTGCTGCCCTGCTGCCCTGCGTCTCTCCGGAGAGGCCTCGCTGGAGGCAACTCCACTGCAGCCCGACGTACAACCGCGTCGGCGACCTCGGCCGGAGCATCGCCCACGGCACCGTCACCGCCAACGCCTCCCCGGCGCGCTTCACCGACACGTCCCCGGAGTGCCGGTCCTGCGGTAAAGTGGAGACGGCGCACCGACACGTGGAGTGCGAGAGCCTCGACTCGCTGTTCAAGGTCCTGAGAAACATCCTCCTGAGGTTCAGCCTCCACTTCTCCCCGACGGTCCTCATCTTTGGACACCCGAGGGGCGACGGACCCCAACATCTTCAGGGGCCGGTCAACGTGCTCGTGGGCCGCGCCAAGCTCGCCGTGCACAGGGCGAGGAAGGTGGCCCTGGAGGGGAGACGTCCGGCCAGCAGCCTGGGGGCATCTCCCGCGCTCTGCACGGAGCCCCAGGGGGTGTGGGTCGGAGTCCCGCCGTGAGGCTGGTGACCCCCACGCCGTGCGGCTGGTGACCCCCGACCCCGTGCGGCTGGTGACCCCCAACCCCGTGCGGCTGGTGACCCCCGACCCCGTGCGGCCTTCAGGGAGCGGTGGGCGTTGGAGGAGGCCGCGTGCTTCGTGGCAGGAGACGGGAGCTGCTCCACGTGCAGAGCAGAGAGCTGCCGCCAGAGGGCGGGGGGCTGCGGGGGCTGCGTGGGACTGCGTGGGGCTGCGTGCAGAACGAGAGAGAGAGCCAGAGGTGGGGGTTAACATAAAGCAAAGTTTAAATAAAATAAAGGATTTAAAAAACAAAGTTTTTCACTATAAATCCTTTATATGCGTGGCATCGGTTTTATTTTATTATTCATTTCTGTTTTTTCTTGAGTAAGAGTTTAATTTTTATCACATTGGTATTTAAAATTAAATATGAAATTTTTTTCCCCTAAAAAGTGGAAAATTTAGGAAAAAATTTTTTTCACGAAAATAAATTGTCACGCACAACGAGTCTGTGTGTCAGCTCGATTGGATCACGGGAAGTGGGTTAAAAAACGACCGAAAGATTTGCACGGTCGTAAGCAAGCAAGCAAGTGAACTTAATATAAAGGATTTAAAATATAACTAAGTATAACCAGTAAAAACAAAGTTTTTCACTATAAATCCTTTATATGCGTGGCGGCTAGAGTCCTCTCGTCCTCTGGCTTGAGATGGCTGCCACCTATGGGTCAGATGAATGGCTGCCACCATTAAGCAATTGGTAATTAAATATAATTTATTTTTTCCTAAAAAGTGTAAAATTTTGAAAAAAAATTTCACGAAAATAAATTGTCACGCACAACGAGTCTGTGTGCAAAATGTCAGCTCGATTGGATCACGGGAAGTGGGTTAAAAAACGAGCGAAAGATTTGCACGGTCGTAAGCGCGCAAGCAAGCAAGCGAGTGAACTTAATATAAAGGATTTAAAATAAAAACCAAGAGAGACGAGAAGGGATGAGAGTGAGAGAGTGAGGGGTGAGTCGCGTGAGAGGTGGGCGAGATGCGAGCCAGAGATCGAGAGAGACGAGGGAGATGCTGGGTGGGTGGATGGGGCAGATTAGACGCGATGCGGAGATGCGGGTGGGGGGGGAGACAAAGACGGCCTCGCTCCCCCGACACAATCTGCGTGCACCTAGCCTGGCACGGCAGCAGTCGACCCGTGGCACCCGCAGGGTCTGTTCTGTGACGTGCACCTAGCCTGGCACGGCTGCTGCGCTCAGGACCCGGCGAGACGCGAGTTCGATTCCCGCTCACCGCCAACACTCCGACAGCAGCAAGCGGCGGCGGGACCTCCCCCCCCCCCCTAGGTCGACTCAGCCTCAAATGAATACCTGGCGCGGTGGCGTGTCGTGAACGTCGCCACGGGGGAGAGACAAAGGCGGCCGCGCGTGGTTGCTAGGCACCCAGCCCCTCGCGCGTGGTTGCTAGGCACCCAGCCCCTCGTGCGTGGTTGCTAGGCACCCAGCTCCTCGCGCCGGACCTTCATCGGAGCTGCGACTCGCTACTCACAGCACTTGCCCCGACAGTTTCGTTCGAGGCTACCTGGGGGGTCTTTGTCTCTGCTCGAGACGCTGGGCCACACCTGGATCACGTGGGAGGGGGGGGGCTGCCACCTGTCCAGTCAGACCGGTCGGGGCTGTCCCGCCCTCGACGAAGACAGCGGCAGTAGCAGCAGGAGCTGCAGCTGTAGCAGCAGGAGCGGCTACAGCTGCTGTAGCAGCAGCAGGAGCAGCAGGAGCAGCAGCAGGAGGCTGGAGTTCAGTCTGACGACACCCGGAACGCACACAGGTCACGCAAGTCCATCACCAACTCACTCACCAACTCACTAACCAACTCACAAAGTCACTCACGAACTCACTCACTCACTCACCATCTCACTAACTCACTAACCAACTCACTCACCAACTCACTCACCAACTCACTCACCAACTCACAAAGTCACTCACCAACTCACAAAGTCACTCACGAGCTCACTCACTCACCAACTCACTAACTCACTCACCAACTCACTCACTAACTCACTCACCAACTCACTCACTCACCAACTCACTCACTAACTCACTCACTCACCAACTCACTCACTCACCAACTCACTCACCAACTCACTCACCAACTCACTCACTCACCAACTCACTCACCAACTCACTCACTCACCAACTCACTCACCAACTCACTCACTAACTCACTCACCAACTCACTCACTCACCAACTCACTCACTCACCGACTCACTAACCCACCAACTCACTCACTCACTCACCAACTCACTCATCAACTCACTCATCAACTAACCAACTCACTCACCAACTCACTCACTCACACACCAACTCACTCACTCACCTACTCACTAACCCACCAACTCACTAACCCACCAACTCACTCACCAACTCACTTACTCACCAACTCACTCACCAACTCACTCACTCATCAACTAACCAACCCACTCACCAACTCACTCACCAACTAATTCCCTAACTCACTCACCAACTCACCAACTCACTCACCAACTAACTCACTCACTCACCAACTCACTGACTCACAAAGTCACTCACGAACTCACTCACTCACTCACCAACTCACTCACCAACTCACTAACTCACTCACCAACTCAGTAACTCACAAAGTCACTCACCAACTCACTCACTCACCAACTCACTCACCAACTCACTCACCAACTCACTTACTAGCTCACTCACTCACCAACTCACCAACTCACTCACAAACTCACTCACTCACCAACTCACTCACCAACTCACTCACTCACCAACTCACTAACTCACAAAGTCACTCACAAACTCACCAACTCAGTCACCAACTCACTCACTCACCGACTCACTAACCCACCAACTCACTCACTCACTCACCAACTCACTCACCAACTCACTCACTCACCGACTCACTAACCCACCAACTCACTCACCAACTCACTCACTCACCAACTCACTCATCAACTCACTCATCAACTAACCAACTCACTCACCAACTCACTCACTCACCAACTCACTCACTAACTCACTCACCAACTCACTCACTCACCAACTCACTCACCAACTCACTCACCAACTAACTCACTCACTCACCAACTCACTGACTCACAAAGTCACTCACGAACTCACTCACTCACCAACTCACTCACCAACTCACTAACTCACTCACCAACTCACTCACCAACTCACTCACTAACTCACTCACCAACTCACTCACTCACCAACTCACTCACCAACTCACTCACCAACTCACTCACTAGCTCACTCACTCACCAACTCACCAACTCACTCACCAACTCACTCACCAACTCACTCACTCACCAACTCACTAACTCACAAAGTCACTCACGAACTCACCAACTCAGTCACCAACTCACTCACTCACCGACTCACTAACCCACCAACTCACTCACTCACTCACCAACTCACTCACCAACTCACTCACTCACCGACTCACTAACCCACCAACTCACTCACTCACTCACCAACTCACTCATCAACTCACTCATCAACTAACCAACTCACTCACCAACTCACTCACTCACACACCAACTCACTCACTCACCTACTCACTAACCCACCAACTCACTCACCAACTCACTCACCAACTCACTTACTCACCAACTCACTCACCAACTCACTCACTCATCAACTAACCAACCCACTCACCAACTCACTCACCAACTAATTCCCTAACTCACTCACCAACTCACCAACTCACTCACCAACTCACTCACTCACCAACTCACTTACTCACCGACTCACTCACTAGCTCACTCACTCACCAACTCACCAACTCACTAACTCACTCACCAAATCACTCACTCACCAACTCACTCACTCACCAACTCACTCACCAACTCACTCACTCACCAACTCACTAACTCACAAAGTCACTCACGAACTCACCAACTCAGTCACCAACTCACTCACTCACCGACTCACTAACCCACCAACTCACTCACTCACCAACTCACTCACCAACTCACTCACTCACCGACTCACTAACCCACCAACTCACCCAGACTTGGCTTCGCAGTGTGTGTGGGGGTATAAATGACTCACCACGTCTAGAATGTCGTGAGTAGGTAGGGGCTGGCCTGGCACACGGGGGGAGGAAGGTCCGTGGGTCGGTTTGGATGATACTGAAAGTGTCGTGGGATTTCCTTCTTTTGACTGCAGAGACAAGGCGAGTCAATACGAGGTGAGTCTGTGTGTGGTGTGTGTGTAGTGAGTGTGGTGTGTGTGTAGTGTGTGTGGTGTGTGTGTGTAGTGAGTGTGGTGTGTGTGTAGTGTGTGTAGTGTGTGTGTGTAGTGAGTGTGGTGTGTGGTGTGTGTGTAGTGAGTGTGTAGTGTGGTGTGTGTGTAGTGTGGTGTGTGTGTGTAGTGAGTGTGTAGTGTGTGTGTAGTGTGTGTGTAGTATGTGTGGTGTGTGTGTGTGGTGTGTGTAGTGTGGTGTGTGTGGTGTGTGTGTAGTGAGTGTGTAGTGTGGTGTGTGTAGTGTGGGGCGTGTGTGTGGTGTGTGGTGTGTGTGTAGTGTGTGTGGTGTTTGTGTGTGTGGTGTGTGTGTAGTGAGTGTGTAGTGTGGTGTGTGTGTAGTGTGGTGTGTGTGTGTAGTGAGTGTGTAGTGTGTGTGTAGTATGTGTGGTGTGTGTGTGTGTGGTGTGTGTGTAGTGTGTGTGTGTAGTGAGTGTGGTGTGTGTAGTGAGTGTGTAGTGTGTGTAGTGTGGTGTGTGTGTAGGGAGTGTGGTGTGTGTAGTGAGTGTGTGTAGTGTGTGAGTGTAGTGTGTGTGTGTGGTGTGTGTGTGTAGTGTGTCTGGTGTTTGTGTAGTATGTGTGGTGTGTGTGGTGTGTGTAGGGAGTGTGTGCGTGTGTGTAGTGTGGTGTGTGTGTGGTGTGTGTAGGGAGTGTGTGTGTAGTCTGTGTGTAGCCTGTGTGTAGTGTGTGTGTAGTATATGTGGTGGGTGTGTAGTGTGTGTGGTGTTTGTGTAGTGAGTGTGGTGTGTGTGTAGTGTGTGTGTAGTCTGTGTGTAGTCTGTGTGTAGTGTGTGTGTAGTGTGGTGTGTGTGTGTGTAGTGTGTGTGTAGTGTGTGTAGTGTGTGTGTGTAGTCTGTGTGTGTGTAGTGTGTGTGTAGTGTGTGTGTGGTGTGTGTGTAGTGGGTGTGTGTGTGGTGTGTGTGTAGTGTGTGTGTAGTGTGTGTGTAGTCTGTGTGTAGTGTGTGTGTAGTCTGTGTGTAGTGTGTGTGTGGTGTGTGTGTAGTAAGTGTGTGTGGTGTGTGTGTGGTGTGTGTGTAGTAAGTGTGTGTGGTGTGTGTGGTGTGTGTGTAGTGTGTGTGTAGTGTGTGTGTGCAGTGTCTGTGTGGAGTGTTGGGGGTGATGATGGTGGTGATGATGATGATGGTGGTGATGTTGTTTCAGACGAAGACGCGATGTCAGACGAGGAGGACCTGGAGGTGAGATAAACATCACCATCACCACCATCACCACCATCACCACCATCATCACCACCACCACCACCATCATCACCATCACCACCATCACCACCATCATCACCACCACCACCATCATCACCACCACCATCATCACCACCACCATCACCACCACCACCACCATCATCGCCACCACCACCACCATCATCACCACCACCACCATCATCATCACCACCATCACCATCATCACCACAACCACCACCATCACCACCACCACCAATATGTTGTTGAGGGTGATGTTGATGTTGTTGATGGTGATGATGTTGATGGTGATGATGTTGTTGATGATGTTGTTGATGGTGATGTTGTTGATGGTGATGTTGTTGATGGTGATGATGTTGATGGTGATGATGTTGATGGTGATGATGTTGTTGATGGTGATGTTGTTGATGGTGATGTTGTTGATGGTGATGTTGTTGATGGTGATGATGGTGATGTTGTTGTTGATGGTGATGTTGTTGATGATGTTGGTGATGTTGATAATAGTTTTTTTACCCGTTTATCTGGCAAAAAAACTGACACCTTTTTTAGAAGGAGTCATGTTTGCATTGACCACAATACCTGCGGTCATAATGCATACTCTGATGGTGCATTGTCATTGAGTTGTGCGCCTTTTGGCATCATCTGGTCCAACACCATGTGAGACTGGGCTCTAAGAATAGCTGTCTCGGGTGTGGACTAATCAACTTCAAGTGACAGTGCATACATTATCAGAGTTGTGTTTTTTGTTTGCATTCCGACCGCAGGTATTGTGGTCAATGCAAACATGACTCCTCGTAAAAAAAGGTGTCAGTTTTGTTGCCAGATAAAAGGGTAAAAAAACAATGATCATATTTTTTACTGGCAAATGAGGTTCCAATGGTGTTGTTGATGTTGATGATGATGGTGTTGATGTTGATGTTGTTGATGTTGTTGTTGTTTGTCGTGGCCTGTGAGCAGGGGGGCTACGCTGTGGTGCTGTGTGTTGATGGTGGTGATGTTGTTGATGTTGATGATGTTGATGCTGATGATGTTGTTGATGTTGATAATGATGTTGATGTTGTTGTTGATGGTGATGTTGTTGTTGTTGATGATGTTGTTGTGGTTGCCTGTGAGCAGGGGGGCTACGCCGTGGTGCTGTGTGTTGATGGTGATGTTGATGTTGTTGATGATGATGATGTTGTTGTTGTTGATGTTGTTGTTGATGATGTTGTTGTGGTTGCCTGTGAGCAGGGGGGCTACGACGTGGTGCTGTGTGTTGATGGTGATGATGATGTTGTTCATGTTGTTGTTGATATTGTTTATGTTGATGTTGTTGTTGATGTTGTTGTTCTTGTTGTTGTTGCCTGTGAGCAGGGGGGCTACGCCGTGGTGCTGTGTGTTGATGATGATGTTTTGTTGATGGTGATGGTGATATTGTTGTTGTTGATGTTGTTGTTGTTGTTTGTGAGCAGGGGGGCTATGCTGTGGTGCTGTGTGTTGATGGTGATGTTGTTGTTGATGGTGATGCTGTTGTTGATGTTGATGATGATGATGTTGTTGTTGTTGTTTGTGAGCAGGGGGGCTATGCTGTGGTGCTGTGCGGCCGACGCGACCTGCCCCAGGGGGCGACGCACGCCGAGCTCACACTGAGCTCACACCAACACAGAGACCAGGTGCAGCCCCCCAACACCAACACCACCACTACTACTAACACCACCACTACTACTAACACCACCACCACTACCCACAACCACCACACCACCACTATCCACCACCACCACACCAACACAGAGACCAGGTGCAGCCCCCCACCACCACCACAACCACCACCACCACCACTACTACCACCACTACCACCAACACCACCACCACCACTACTACCACTACTACCACCACCACCACCACCACAGTGCCCCACCACCACCACCACCACCGCCCCCCACCACCACTGCCCCCCACCACCACTGCCCCCCACTACTACCCCCACCACTGCCCCCCCCACCACTGCCCCCCACCACTGCCCCCCCACTACAAAGCTAAAGACAAAGCTCCCCGTGTAGCCTCTAGCAGGGCTGTAGAGGGGCAAGTTCTGTCTGTAGCGGCAGCAGCGCCTATGAAGGCAGGAACTGTGGCACACGGCGGCGTTGTTGTTGATGTTGTTGTTGCTATGGTTGTTGTTGATGTTGTTGATGTTATTGCTGTGGTTGTTGTTGCTATGGTTGATGTTGTTGCTATGGTTGTTGTTGATGTTGTTGATGTTATTGCTGTGGTTGTTGTTGCTATGGTTGATGTTGTTGCTATGGTTTTTTCTATGGTTGTTGTTGCTATGGTTGTTGATGCTATGGTTGATGTTGTTGCTAAGGTTATTGTTGCTATGGTTATTGTTGCCATGGTTGTGGTCCAGGACATGACGTGCATTGTGGTCAAGGCGCCATTTCTCGATGTTTACGAACAGATGACAAAAATCCCAGAGAGGTAAACACAACAACAACAACAACCACGACCACCACCACAACAATTACAACAACGACCACAACAACCACCACGACAACTGCAACAAGAAGCACCACAACAACCACCACAACAGAATCACATTATACTGGTAGGAACGAAGTGAACCAGCCTACAATAGATTATTATCGTCCGTCCATCCGTCCGATGTCCGATTAGGTGTAGCAACATCGCCCCCTACTGCAAACACTTGGCAGGACCCTACAAAAACCTTTAGACTCAGTGGGGCTTTCCTGGCTAAACAAGTGTCATAATACATTATGTTTATATTCTTTGGTTATTCGTTCCTATCAGCCCACCCCGCAGGGACCTGTTATTGTTCAGTGGTTGTTGAGTGGTTGTTGAGTGGTTGTTGTGTGGTTGTTGAGTGGTTGTTGTGTGGTTGTTGTGTGGTTGTTGAGTGGTTGTTGTGTGGTTGTTGTGTGGTTGTTGTGTGGTTGTTGAGTGGTTGTTGTGTGGTTGTTGAGTGGTTGTTGTGTGGTTGTTGTGTGGTTGTTGTGTGGTTGTTGTGTGGTTGTTGAGTGGTTGTTGAGTGGTTGTTGTGTGGTTGTTGAGTGGTTGTTGAGTGGTTGTTGTGTGGTTGTTGAGTGGTTGTTGAGTGGTTGTTGTGTGGTTGTTGTGTGGTTGTTGAGTGGTTGTTGAGTGGTTGTTGTGTGGTTGTTGTGTGGTTGTTGAGTGGTTGTGTGGTTGTTGTGTGGTTGTGTGTGGTTGTTGAGTGGTTGTTGTGTGGTTGTTGTGTGGTTGTTGAGTGGTTGTTGTGTGGTTGTTGAGTGGTTGTTGTGTGGTTGTTGAGTGGTTGTTGAGTGGTTGTTGTGTGGTTGTTGTGTGGTTGTTGAGTGGTTGTGTGGTTGTTGTGTGGTTGTTGTGTGGTTGTTGAGTGGTTGTTGTGTGGTTGTTGTGTGGTTGTTGTGTGGTTGTTGTGTGGTTGTTGTGTGGTTGTTGTGTGGTTGTTGAGTGGTTGTTGTGTGGTTGTTGAGTGGTTGTTGAGTGGTTGTTGTGTGGTTGTTGTGTGGTTGTTGTGTGGTTGTTGAGTGGTTGTGTGGTTGTTGTGTGGTTGTTGTGTGGTTGTTGTGTGGTTGTTGTGTGGTTGTTGTGTGGTTGTTGAGTGGTTGTTGTGTGGTTGTTGTGTGGTTGTTGTGTGGTTGTTGTGTGGTTGTTGTGTGGTTGTTGTGTGGTGTTGAGTGGTTGTGTGGTTGTTGTGTGGTTGTTGTGTGGTTGTTGTGTGGTTGTTGTGTGGTTGTTGTGTGGTTGTGTGGTTGTTGTGTGGTTGTTGTGTGGTTGTTGTGTGGTTGTTGAGTGGTTGTGTGGTTGTTGTGTGGTTGTTGCAGTGAGATATTTTCAAAAAAAGACCTGAAAATCGTAAATGGATCAGCAGCTTTGGGGTGAGGACATCAACATCGGAATCATCAGCACCACCCATCCACCTACTCACCCACCCACTCACCCACCCACCCACTCACCCACCCATCCACCTACTCACCCACCCACCCACTCACCCACCCATCCACTCACTCACCCCCCATCCATTCACCCACCCACCCACTCACCCACCCATCCACTCACTCACTCAACCCCCATCCACCCACTCACCCACCCACTCACCCACTCACCCACCCACTCACTCACTCACCCACTCACTCACCCCCCATCCACTCACTCACCCACTCATCCACTCACTCACTCACCCACTCACTCACTCACCCCCCATCCACTCACTCACCCATCCAGTCACTCACCCATCCACTCACTCACCCACCCATCCACCCACTCACCCACCCACTCACCCACTCACTCACTCACCCACTCACTCACCCCCCATCCACTCACTCACCCACTCACCCACCCACTCACCCACCCACTCACTCATCCACTCACTCACCCCCCATTCACTCACTCACCCATCCACTCCCTCACCCACCCATCCACTCACTCACTCACCCACCCACCCAGTCACTCACCCATTCACTCACTCACCCACCCATCCACTCACTCACCCATCCACTCACTCACCCACCCATCTACTCACCCATCCACTCACTCACCCACCCACGCACCCACCCACTCACTCACCCACCCACGCACCCACTCACTCACCTCCCCCACTCACCTTCCTCACTCACCAACCCACTCACCCACTCACCCCCCTCTCACCACCCACCCCTCCCCTCGTGGTGAGCAGGAGGCGGCGCTACATTCGCGAATTCTCCTCCGAGCTGCTGGAGGAGGAGGCGGGAGGCAGCAGCGAGTGGTAAACAGCGGCCGGCCCTCACACACAGGCAAAGGTCCCCCCGGTAGCCTCCAACAGGGCTGTAGGGGCAAGTGCTCTGAGTCTCGAGCAGCAGCACAGAGGGGATGGGTGGCCTGCACCACCCTCGCCCACCCGGCCGCCTTTGTCTCCCTAGTGACGATGTTTACTGCACACCGCACCGGGTACTCGTTTTAGGCTGGGGCGACCTAGGGGAGGCCCAGAACCGGTTCAGATAATCGTCACTGGTGTTGGTGGCCGTGAGCACGAATCGAATTTAGGTCGCGAGGTTCCTAGTGTCTCTGTGTGGTCAGTCTGTGGGTCTCTGTGTGGTGAGTGTGGGTCTCTGTGTGGTGAGTCTGTGGTGAGTCTGTGGGTCTCTGTGTGGTGAGTCTGTGGGTCTCTGTGTGGTGAGTCTGTGGGTCTCTGTGTGGTGAGTCTGTGGGTCTCTGTGTGGAGTCTGTGGGTCTCTGTGTGGTGAGTGTGGGTCTCTGTGTGGTGAGTCTGTGGGTCTCTGTGTGGTGAGTCTGTGGTGAGTCTGTGGGTCTCTGTGTGGTGAGTCTGTGGGTCTCTGTGTGGTGAGTCTGTGGTGAGTCTGTGGGTCTCTGTATGCTGAGTTTGTGGGTCTCTGTGTGGTGAGTCTGTGGTGAGTCTGTGGGTCTCTGTGTGGTGAGTCTGTGGGTCTCTGTGTGGTCTGTGGTGAGTCTGTGGGTCTCTGTGTGATGAGTCTGTGGGTCTCTCTGTGGTGAGTCTGTGGGTCTCTGTGTGGTGAGTCTGTGGGTCTCTGTGTGGTGAGTCTGTGGGTCTCTGTGTGGTGAGTCTGTGGATCTCTGTGTGGTGAGTCTGTGGGTCTCTGTGTGGTGAGTCTGTGGGTCTCTGTGTGGTGAGTCTGTGGGTCTCTGTGTGGTGAGTCTGTAGGTCTCTGTGTGGTGAGTCTGTGGGTCTCTGTGTGGTGAGTCTGTGGGTCTCTGTGTGGTGAGTCTGTGGGTCTCTGTGTGGTGAGTCTGTGGGTCTCTGTGTGGTGAGTCTGTGGGTCTCTGTGTGGTGAGTCTGTGGGTCTCTGTGTGGTGAGTCTGTGGGTCTCTGTGTGGTGAGTCTGTGGGTCTCTGTGTGGTGAGTCTGTGGGTCTCTGTGTGGTGAGTCTATGGGTCTCTGTGTGGTGAGTCTGTGGGTCTCTGTGTGGTGAGTCTGTGGGTCTCTGTGTGGTGAGTCTGTGGGTCTCTGTGTGGTGAGTCTGTGGGTCTCTGTGTGGTGAGTTTGTGGGTCTCTGTGTGGTGAGTCTGTGGGTCTCTGTGTGGTGAGTCTGTGGGTCTCTGTGTGGTGAGTGTGGGTCTCTGTGTGGTGAGTCTGTGGGTCTCTGTGTGGTGAGTCTGTGGGTCTCTGTGTGGTGAGTCTGTGGGTCTCTGTGTGGTGAGTCTGTGGGTCTCTGTGTGATGAGTCTGTGGGTCTCTGTGTGGTGAGTCTGTGGGTCTCTGTGTGGTGAGTCTGTGGGTCTCTGTGTGGTGAGTCTGTGGGTCTCTGTGTGGTGAGTCTGTGGGTCTCTGTGTGGTGAGTCTGTGGGTCTCTGTGCGGTGAGTCTGTGGGTCTCTGTGCGGTGAGTCTGTGGGTCTCTGTGCGGTGAGTCTGTGGGTCTCTGTGTGGTGAGTCTGTGGGTCTCTGTGCGGTGAGTGTGGGTCTCTGTGAACCTGGGCATCTGTATGTATATCTATGGCTCTCCTCCATGTACATCTCTTTGGATGTCCATGTCTCTCTCTCTGTCTGTGAGAGCAGTGAGGAGTTTGAAGATACCTGCACTACCTCTTACCTCAAATGCTGCAAAACCAACCCCAACATCAATCCAGAGGCTGGGATGCTTTCTGACAGGTAGTGTCACACACACTCACGCACCCGTGTCTAATGAGGGGCGGGCACGATACCTCTGGACAAGCCAAACTCTACAGGGAAGTTGAGTCCCTATGGGAGACGCACCCCAGAGAACATCAGCCAGATTGACCAACGCGTTATTGAACGAGTTGTGTCCGTGTGTAGCGGGGGGACGTGGTAGTTGTGGACACGGCGGTCCCATTTCAGTCAAACTCTGCGTGCCTTTGGGTGGCTCAACCCCGGCCACAATCAGCCACATCCCCCGACGGGTCCCTGAATGAGCCCCGTGTCTCTATGTGTGCGGCGTGACGGGGGCACGGTGACTCTGGATTCCATGGTTCAGTTTCAGCCAAACTCGGCAGGACAGTTGAGTCCATATTGGTGATAATGCTGCTCATGCTGCTGCTGCTGATGGTGCTGCTGCTGCTGATGATGATGCTGATGATGCTGCTGATGATGATGCTGCTGATGATGATGCTACTGATGATGATGATGATGATGCTGATGATGATGCTGCTGATGATGATGATGATGATGCTGCTGATGATGATGATGATGCTGCTGATGATGCTGCTGATGATGCTGCTGCTGATGATGATGCTTATGATCTTGATTGTGATGTTGATTGTGATGTTGATTGTGATGTGTTGCAGAGATTCATCGAAGCGAGGAGCCATGAACGGGAAGATTGTGAACTTCATGATGCAGAACACGGAGAGACGTGAGTGGGACTCACGGCGCCGGGACTTGGGGCGGAGAGTCTCACGCAGACCGGTGGTAGTTGTGGTTGTTGTGGTTGTTGTGGTTGTGGTTGTTGATGTGGTTGTTGTTGTGGTTGTTGTGGTTGATGTGGTTGTTGTTGATGTGGTTGTTGTTGTTGATGTGGTTGTTGTGGTTGTTGTGGTTGTTGATGTGGTTGTTGTTGATGTGGTTGTTGTGGTTGTTGTGGTTGTTGTGGTTGTTGTTGATGTGGTTGATGTTGTTGTGGTTGTTGTGGTTGCTGTGGTTGATGTTGATGTGGTTGTTGTGGTTGTTGTTGATGTGGTTGTTGTGGTTGTGGTTGGTGTGGTTGCTGTGGTTGTTGTGGTTGTTGTGGTTGTTGTTGATGTGGTTGCTGTGGTTGTTGTGGTTGTTGTGGTTGATGTGGTTGCTGTGGTTGTTGTGGTTGTTGTGGTTGTTGTTGATGTGGTTGCTGTGGTTGTTGTGGTTGTTGTTGCTGCTCTGGTTCCGCCAGAGTTCCAGTGGCTGGAGCACCTTGAGCAGCACGTGAAGACGCACTTCCCTCTGCACGAGGTCAGCAGCTACAGCACAGACGCGGCTCCTACGTAGAATACGAGTGTCGTTTATAGTGTAGTGTATACTGTAGTGTAGTGTACTGTAGTGTATAGTGTACTACACTCTAGTAGTGTGGTGTATAGTAGTGTAGTGTATAGCAGAGGTGTGGACTCGAGTCATGTGACTTGGACTCGAGTCAGACTCGAGTCATGAATTTGATGACTTCAGACTCGACTTGGACTTGCATAACAATGACTTTGTCCCACCTCTGGTGTATAGTGTAGTGTATAGTGTACTACACTCTAGTAGTGTGGTGTATAGTAGTGTAGTGTATAGTGTCGTGTATTATGTAGTGTATAATAGTGTACCAAATAGTTGCGTAGTGTATAGTTCTGTAGTGTATAGAGTAGTGTATAGTGTACTACACTCTAGTAGTGTGGTGTATAGTAGTGTAGTGCATAGTATAGTGCATAATGTACTACACTCTAGTAGTGTGGTGTATAGTGTGGTGTATAGTAGTGTCGTGTATAATAGTGTAGTGTATAGTGTAGTGTATAGTAGTGTGGTGTATAGTGTGGTGTATAGTAGTGTGGTGTATAGTAGTGTAGTGTATAGTGTAGTGTATAGTGTAGTGTAGTGTGTAGTGTATAGTCGTGTAGTGTATAGTGTAGTGTAGTATATAGTGTAGTGTATAATAGTGTAGTGTATAATAGTGTAGTGTAGTGTGTAGTGTATAGTAGTGTAGTGTATAGTGTAGTGTAGTATATAGTGTAGTGTATAGTCGTGTAGTCAAGTGTCAGGTCAGGCCTTGCTCCTCTACCGTAACAACAGTGGGTGGTGCTGCCTGCAACTGGTCGGTGCCCAGCGTCGGTCAATTCGCCCGGCACCTTCAAGGGCTTCGGGCGGACGGGCGCTTGGCTTGGGTGGTGGGTCGGGATCGAACCCACGACCTCCCGCGTACGGGGCGAGGCAGATAACATCTCCCAGCCACCCGAGTTACCCACTCTCTACCCCGCCTGGGCGACGTGGCCATTGTAGGCCGCGGGGTCGATGTTCATGTCATTATGTTGAGCTGTTCGCTGCTGTCGTTTGTTTTTGTTGACAGAAGCGAATCCGGGATAATCTGATGAAGCGTTGGGGACACATCCGTGCCCTGTTCAAACTGCAGCCCCTCAACCTCGTCAGGTGAACACATCAGCAGCAGCAGCATCATCAGCAGCAGCTGCATCTCTATCAATAGCAGCATCATCAGTAGCAACAAATTAAAATCATCATCATTATCATCGTGTGTGTGTGTGCGTGTTCACGTGTGTGCGTGTGTACGCACACGTATGTACACGTGTCTGTGTGTGTGTGTCCACGTGTCTGTGTGTGTCCACGTGTCTGTGTGTGCACGCAGGGCGTACTATGGAGAGCAGGTGTGCATGTACTTTGCGTGGCTGTGTGTGTGTGCGTGGCTGTGTGTGTGTGTGTCTGTGTGTGTGTGTGTGTGCGCAGGGCGTACGATGGAGAGCAGGTGTGCATGTACTTTGCGTGGCTGTGTGTGTGTGCGTGGCTGTGTGTGTGTGCTGTGTGTGTGTGTCTGTGTGTGTGTGTGTGCGCAGGGCGTACTATGGAGAGCAGGTGTGCATGTACTTTGCGTGGCTGGGCTGGTACACCCACATCCTGCTGGTGTCCACCCTGGTGGGACTCGGGGTGTTCCTCTACGGAGTGGCCACCTTCAACTCCAACATGGTCAGGTAGAATCCACCACTCATATCATCCACCGTTCATATAGTCCACCACATGTGTAGATGTATAGTCCACCACCGGTATAGTCAACCGAGGTTATCGTCCACCACTCGTATAGGCCCGGGCTACCTGGGGGAGCTTTGTCTGTTGTCTCCGTGTGTGTGGGGAGTGGTGGCGCTGCGGTTGTCGCTGCACTGTGCCATGAACCTGCCACCCCGAGTTCGATTCCCGCGCACGGACACCAACACCGGTGACGATGATCTGAACTGGTCCTGGGCCTCCCCTAGGTCGACTCAGCCTCAAATGAGTACCCGGTGCGGTGTGTAGTGAACATCGCCAGCACTGGGGAGACGGAGGCGGCTGGGCAGGCGGGCGCGCTACTGGCTACCCAGCCACCCCCTCGTGTGCCACACTGCCGGTGGCCTTCACAGATGCTGCTGCTGCTGCTACTCGCTACTAACAACATGCACTTGCCCCTACACGGGGGACCTTTGCCTCTGTCTTTGTAGCAAGGAGGTGTGCGAAGCGACGGACATTGTCATGTGTCCCCTGTGTGACGAGGGCTGCCACTTCTGGAACCTGTCGGACACGTGCACCTTCGCCAAGGTCAGGCTCGTCACGACCCGCTCGCCTGGGGTTCACAAATGGCCACTAGGTCTATGGGTAGCAGTGGTGAGTCTACGGTGCAGTGTTGAGTCTATGGGCAGTGCTGAGTCTATGGGGCAGTGTTGAGTCTATGGGGCAGTGTTGAGTCTATGGTGCAGTGGTGAGTCTATGGTGCAGTGGTGAGTCTATGGTGCAGTGTTGAGTCTATGGTGCAGTCTTGAGTCTATGGGGCAGTGTTGAGTCTATGGGGCAGTGTTGAGTCTATGGTGCAGTGTTGAGTCTATGGTGCAGTGGTGAGTCTATGGTGCAGTGGTGAGTCTATGGTGCAGTGTTGAGTCTACGGTGCAGTGTTGAGTATATGGGCAGTGCTGAGTCTATGGGGCAGTGTTGAGTCTATGGGGCAGTGTTGAGTCTATGGTGCAGTGGTGAGTCTATGGTGCAGTGGTGAGTCTATGGTGCAGTGTTGAGTCTATGGTGCAGTCTTGAGTCTATGGGGCAGTGTTGAGTCTATGGGGCAGTGTTGAGTCTATGGTGCAGTGTTGAGTCTATGGTGCAGTGGTGAGTCTATGGTGCAGTGTTGAGTCTACGGTGCAGTGTTGAGTCTACGGTGCAGTGTTGAGTCTATGGGCAGTGTTGAGTCTATGGGGTAGTGTTGAGCCTATGGGGCAGTATTGAGTCTATGGTGCAGTGTTGAGTCTATGGGGCAGTGTTGAGTCTATGGGCAGTGTTGAGTCTACGGTGCAGTGGTGAGTCTACGGTGCAGTGTTGAGTCTATGGGCAGTGTTGAGTCTACGGTGCAGTGGTGAGTCTATGGTGCAGTGTTGAGTCTATGGTGCAGTGTTGAGTCTATGGGGCAGTGTTGAGTCTATGGGCAGTGTTGAGTCTATGGGCAGTGTTGAGTCTACGGTGCAGTGGTGAGTCTACTATGGTGCAGTGTTGAGTCTATGGTGCAGTGTTGAGTCTATGGGCAGTGTCGAGTCTATGGTGCAGTGTTGAGTCTATGGTGCAGTGTTGAGTCTATGGGCAGTGTTGAGTCTATGGGCAGTGTTGAGTCTATGGTGCAGTGTTGAGTCTATGGGCAGTGTTGAATCTATGGTGCAGTGTTGAGTCTATGGGGCAGTGGTGAGCCTATGGGCAGTGTTGAGTCTATGGTGCAGTGTTGAGTCTATGGAACAGTGTTGAGTCTATGGTGCAGTGGTGAGTCTATGGTGCAGTGTTGAGTCTACGGTGCAGTGTTGAGTCTACGGTGCAGTGTTGAGTCTATGGGCAGTGTTGAGTCTATGGGCTAGTGTTGAGCCTATGGGGCAGTATTGAGTCTATGGTGCAGTGTTGAGTCTATGGGGCAGTGTTGAGTCTATGGGCAGTGTTGAGTCTACGGTGCAGTGGTGAGTCTACGGTGCAGTGTTGAGTCTATGGGCAGTGTTGAGTCTACGGTGCAGTGGTGAGTCTATGGTGCAGTGTTGAGTCTATGGTGCAGTGTTGAGTCTATGGGGCAGTGTTGAGTCTATGGGCAGTGTTGAGTCTATGGGCAGTGTTGAGTCTACGGTGCAGTGGTGAGTCTATGGTGCAGTGTTGAGTCTATGGTGCAGTGTTGAGTCTATGGGCAGTGTCGAGTCTATGGTGCAGTGTTGAGTCTATGGTGCAGTGTTGAGTCTATGGGCAGTGTTGAGTCTATGGGCAGTGTTGAGTCTATGGTGCAGTGTTGAGTCTATGGGCAGTGTTGAATCTATGGTGCAGTGTTGAGTCTATGGGGCAGTGGTGAGCCTATGGGCAGTGTTGAGTCTATGGTGCAGTGTTGAGTCTATGGAACAGTGTTGAGTCAATGGTGCAGTGTTGAGTCTATGGGGAAATGATGAGTCTATAGACTCATCTGGTCAATGTAAGGTGTATCTATCTGTACTCCCTACAGGTCGCCCATCTGTTCGACAACAGCGCCACTGTGTTCTTCGCTGTCTTCATGGCCGTTTGGGGTAAATACATCGTCATCAGCAACATCATCATCAGCAGCAGTAGCAGAAACAGTAGCGGTAGCATCATCAGCAGCATCGCCAGCAGCAGTCGCCTTCACAGGAACTGCTACTCGCTCGCAGCACTCGCCCGGACAGTCTGTCAAGGCGACACGGCGGGGGGGGGGGGGTGTCGGGTTTCCAGTGACACCGCCCCCCACTCCTCGTAGGTACTGCTGCTGCTGCTCTATAGCGGCAGCTATTGCCCCTGCAGCCGGCGTTGGCTACCTGGGGGGGTTCTGCAGTGGCGTCTCGCGACATTGCCACTGGGTGGGGCTGTTGTGAGTGACCTCTGAAAAGATGGTGTTCTAATTAAGAAAAACCTCGTCATGTTATTGCCCCCCCCCCCCTTGAAAGTGGTCTAATTGTCTTATCTATCAACGGTAGGTATTTATACAAAACACGAAACAGAACAACAGATCAATCAAATGCTGTCCCCATGACCCTCAGTTCCACACCACACTCTGTCAAAAGCCTAGAGCGTGTAGGCCGTGACCTGCTACGTGTGCAGTTGCACCCTCGCGTTGTGACGTCGTCTCATTACCGCCATGGGCACCTTCTTCACCGCCCTGAACGCGAAGCTGGTCGCAACGAGTGACGGGAAATCTCTCACTGGGACGCCTTCACAGCCGCCCCGAGACCACCCCCAGGCACTAATCAGGCCGTGGTATTGCAGTGGTTTCTAATGTGATCAACTTGAAAGGGTTGTCTTCATTAGGCAATTCACGTTGAAAGAATCATTATATTTGAACATTTGTAAACACAACAAAGCAATTTATAGAATGTTATATGAGAAATAATTTCTCACCTCCAGCTGCTTGGTGGGGCGGCGCCCCAACGCCCCCTAGTGGACGAACGACGCCTGGAGCTGTGTGTGTGTGTCTGTGTGTGTCTGTGTGTGTGTCTGTGTGTGTCTGTATCTGTGTGTCTCTGTGTATGTGTCCGTGTGTGTGTCCGTGTGTGTCTGTGTGTGTCTGTGTGTCTCTGTGTGTGTCCGTGTGTGTGTCCGTGTGTGTGTCTGTGTGTGTGTCCGTGTGTGTGTCCGTGTGTCTGTGTGTGTATCTGTGTGTGCCTGTGTGTGTGTCTGTGTGCGGCTCATAGCCACAGTGTTTCTGGAGATGTGGAAGCGCTACCGGGCAGTGCTCACCTGCAGGTGGGACCTCCTGGACATGGGGGAGGAGGAGGTGAGTAGGTGGTGGAGGTGGTGGAGGTGGTGGAGGTGGTGGAGGTGGTGGAGGTGGTGGTGGAGGTGTGGATATGGCGGAGTTGGTGGAGGAGGTGGTTGAGGGTTGCTCATTTTTAATACGGTAGAGTGAGGGCTTCTGATGCAATTCCCTCAATATTTTTAAAGGACATTTTTCAAACAGGTAGTTTAATATGCTTTCTATGGCAGTACTGGAGGAATTTCTATCTGGTACAGATACAATGCGAGGATGATCGATGCTCGGGTGCAGTCGAGGGATGGCTCCCTATGCTGATAATCTGGTGATTGCTGCTCACTCAGAGGAGGAGTTGGAGGCCCTGCTGCTGAACCTGGAGGGTGCTACTAAGACGTGGGGCCTTGCCATCAGTCCCTCCACAACTAAGCACCTGCCTGGGTATTATGTATCATCAAATACTCCATGCCCTCAACTTCCCATTGGACGGGCAGTTGTGAAGAGAGTGGAGAGGTTTCCATACTTGGGCAGTGTGCATATGACCATCTCCTGGTTTGACAGCAGAGGTCTCACTCCAAATCGGTTGAGCGGCATAATCTTTTCATTGAATATGTAAGGCTGTGTGGAAGCTACCTGGTCCGTTGCTCCACACGAAGCTTCGGGTTTCATGGCCACAGTCATTCCCTCCCTTCTCTACGCTTGCAAAACGTGGACACTCCTAATGGAACATCTTCGCCGATTAGAAACATTCAGGCTGGCCTACATATGATCCATCCTGGGTTCAACCAGGCTGGATTGTGTGAGAAGCTCACAAATCCTTGAAAGATCTTAACACAGTCCCATCGGTGAGCTCCTCCGGCAGGCAAGGCTGCGTTGGCTGGGTTATGTAGCCTACATCCCAACTAACCGCATGCCCAAACAGATTTTGTTTGGCCAGATAGAGGGGGCTAAATGGGCGTGACATGGGCTGGAGAACAGATGGAATGATGTGGCATGAGATGATATGCAGCTGAGTGGACTTTCCAATAACTGGTATCAGCGGTGTCAAGATCGGCCTCTATGGAGGAGGCTCGTGAAGGACGCTGCTGCTACTGGGCAGTTGGAGCGACGCTCACAACAATGAGTGGAGCGTCGGGTGGCTAAAACACATCAAGTTGTCAAAGTAGGAGGCACAGGTGGTGCATTGGCCACTCATCTCGGTCAGTCGACCCGTGGCACCTGCTGGGTCTGTCCTGTGACCTCCTGCCAGCGGGTGTTCTCAACGTGAACATAGCCTGGCACAAGTCCCATTGTGATGTCACCACCACTTAGTGGCGAATGTCGGTTGTTGCTGATGGTGGTGACTGGTGGTTACTAGAGGTGGTTGTGGTGATGATGGAGATGGTGGTGGTTGAGGTGGTAGTGGTTGAAGTGGTGGTTGTGGGGATGGTGGTGATGGAGGTGGTGGTGATGGTGGTGGAGGTTGAGTTTGAGGTGGTGATGGTAGTTGTGGTGGAGGTGGTGATGGTGATTGGAGGTGGTGATGTTGATGTTGGACGTGGTGATGACGCTGGAGGTGGTGGAGGTGGCATTTGGTGAGTAAGGATGTGGTGGCTCTGCTGATGATGATGTTGCTGCTGCTGATGATGTTGCCGCTGCTGCTGTTGGGTGCCAGGACGAGTTGGTGCTGCGTACGGTGACGCGCCGCTACGTGCCGGGCCGGCCACGCTCGCCCCGCCACAGTGGCACCGCCTTCCAGCATCACCAGCCCCCCTCCTCCTCCTCGTCGCCCTCGGGACTCACGTGCCGCAAGGTCGTCTCGCTGGGCATCATCTCCATCGTCTGCTTCCTCATGGTCGGTGCACGCACGCGCACACGCGAGTACACGTGCACGTGCGCACACATACGCACGCACGTGTAAACACATATGCATGTACCCACACGCGTACACACACGTACGCACGTGTACACACATACGCATGTACACACACGCGTACACACACGTACGCACGTGTACACACATACGCATGTACACACACGCGTACACACACGTACGCACGTGTACACACATACGCATGTACACACACGCGTACACACACGTACGCACGTGTACGCACATACGCATGTACACACACTCGAACACACACGCACGCACGTGTGGTGGTGGTTGTGCACATCTGTGTGGTGGTTGTGGTGGTTGTGAGCTAGATCTGTGTGCTGTAGATCTGTGTGAAGGTGGTTGTTGTGGTCGTGGTTGCAGTGCAGATCTGTGGTGGTTGTGGTTGCTATATATATCTGTGTGGTGGTTATGGTTGTAGTTGTTGTAGATCTGTGGTGATAGTGGTGGTGATGGTGTAGATCTGTGTGGTGGTGGTGGTGTAGATCTGTGTGGTTGTGGTGGTGGTGTAGATCTGTGTGGTGGTGGTGTAGATCTGTGTGGTTGTGGTGGTGGTGTAGATCTGTGTGGTGGTGTTGATCTGTGTGGTGGTGGTGGTGGTGTAGATCTGTGTGGTGGTGGTGTAGATCTGTGTGGTGGTGGTGGTGTAGATCTGTGTGGTGGTGTAGATCTGCGTGGTGGTGGTGGTGTAGATCTGTGTGGTGGTGGTGTAGATTTGTGTGGTGGTGGTGGTGTAGATCTGTGTGGTGGTGGTGGTGTAGATCTGTGTGGTGGTGTAGATCTGCGTGGTGGTGGTGGTGGTGTAGATCTGTGTGGTGGTGGTGATGTTGATCTGTGTGGTGGTGGTGGTGTAGATCTGTGTGGTGGTGGTGTAGATTTGTGTGGTGGTGGTGGTGGTGGTGGTGTAGATCTGTGTGGTGGTGGTGGTGTAGATCTGTGTGGTGGTGTAGATCTGCGTGGTGGTGGTGGTGTAGATATGTGTGGTGGTGGTGGTGTTGATCTGTGTGGTGGTGGTGGTGTAGATCTGTGTGGTGGTGGTGGTGTAGATCTGTGTGGTGGTGGTGTTGATCTGTGTGGTGGTGGTGTTGATATGTGTGGTGGTGGTGTAGATCTGTGTGGTGGTGGTGTAGATCTGTGTGGTGGTGGTGGTGTAGATCTGTGTGGTGGTGGTGGTGTAGATCTGTGTGGTGGTGGTGGTGTAGATCTGTGTGGTGGTGGTGGTGTAGATCTGTGTGGTGGTGGTGGTGTAGATCTGTGTGGTGGTGGTGGTGGTGTAGATCTGTGTGGTGGTGGTGGTGTAGATCTGTGTGGTGGTGTAGATCTGTGTGGTGGTGGTGGTGTAGATCTGTGTGGTGATGGTGGTGTAGATCTGTGTGGTGGTGGTGTAGATCTGTGTGGTGGTGGTGGTGGTGTAGATCTGTGGTGGTGGTGGTGTAGATCTGTGTGGTGGTGGTGGTGGTGTGGATCTGTGTGGTGGTGGTGGTGTAGATCTGTGTGGTGGTGGTGGTGGTGTAGATCTGTGTGGTGGTGGTGTAGATCTGTGTGGTGGTGGTGGTGGTGGTGTAGATCTGTGGTGGTGGTGGTGTAGATCTGTGTGGTGGTGGTGGTGTAGATCTGTGTGGTTGTGGTGGTGTAGATCTGTGTGGTGGTGGTGTAGATCTGTGTGGTGGTGGTGTGGATCTGTGTGGTGGTGGTGTAGATCTGTGTGGTGGTGGTGGTGGTGTAGATCTGTGTGGTTGTGGTGGTGTAGATCTGTGTGGTGGTGGTGTAGATCTGTGTGGTTGTGGTGGTGTAGATCTGCGTGGTGGTGGTGGTGTAGATCTGTGTGGTGGTGGTGGTGTAGAGCTGTGTGGTTGTGGTGATGGTGGTGGTGGTGTAGATCTGTGTGGTGGTGGTGTAGATTTGTGTGGTGGTGGTGTAGATCTGTGTGGTTGTGGTGTAGATCTGTGTGGTTGTGGTGTAGATTTGTGTGGTGGTGGTGGTGTTGTAGATCTGTGTGGTGGTGGTGTAGATCTGTGTGGTGGTGGTGTAGATCTGTGTGGTGGTGGTGTAGATCTGTGTGGTTGTGGTGTAGATCTGTGTGGTTGTGGTGTAGATTTGTGTGGTGGTGGTGTAGATCTGTGTGGTTGTGGTGGTGGTGTTTATCTGTGTGGTTGTGGTGGTGGTGGTCTTGATCTGTGTGGTTGTGGTGGTGGTGTAGATGTGTGGTGGTGGTGGTGGTGTAGATCTGTGTGGTGGTGGTGTGGATCTGTGTGGTGGTGGTGTAGATCTGTGTGGTGGTGGTTGTGTTGATCTGTGTGGTTGTGGTGGTGGTGTAGATCTGTGTGGTTGTGGTGGTGGTGGTGGTGGTGGTGTAGATCTGTGTGGTGGTGGTGTTGATCTGTGTGGTTGTGGTTGTGGTGGTGGTGTAGATCTGTGGTGGTGGTGGTGGTGGTGGTGTAGATCTGTGTGGTGGTGGTGTTGATCTGTGTGGTGGTGGTGGTGGTGTAGATATGTGTGGTGGTGGTGTTGATCTGTGTGGTGGTGGTGGTGGTGTAGATATGTGTGGTTGTGGTGGTGGTGGTGTTGATCTGTGTGGTTGTGGTGGTGGTGGTGTGGATCTGTGTGGTTGTGGTGGTGGTGGTGGTGTAGATCTGCGTCGAGATCGTTGCTGCGTACGCTATCGTGGCCTACCGCGTCCTCATGCGGGACGTGCTCTCACGGAGAGTGGAGCCCGGATTCTTCCGCAACAACGCCGGCCTCGTGGTGGTGGGGAGCGGAGCCATCCTCCACTTCCTGCTCATCCAGTGCATGAACAAGGTGATGGTCGCGCTCATGGTGCTGATGGTGGTGGTTATGGTGGTGGTGGTGATGGTGGTGGTGATGGTGGTGGTAATGGTGACGGTGGCGGTGATGGTGATGATGGCGGTGATGGTGACGGTGGCGGTGATGCTGATGGTGGTGGTGATGGTGGTGGTGGTGATGGTGGTGGTGATGGTGGTGGTAATAGTGACGGTGGCGGTGATGGTGATGATGGCGGTGATGGTGGCGGTGATGGTGATGGTGGTGGTGGCAGTGAAAGTCGCGGTGATGGTGATGGTGGCGGTGATGGTGATGATGGCGGTGATGGTGGCAGCGGTGATGGTGGTGGCAGTGATGGTGGTGATGGTGATAGGGGTGGTGATGGTGTTGGTGATGGTGATAGGGGTTATGGGAGTGATGGTGATGATGGGAGTGATGGGGGTGATGGTAGTGATGGTGGTGAGGATGTTGGCAGTGGTGGTGAGGTTGGTGGTAATGTTGTTGATGTTGTTGTTGCAGGTGTGCGGCATTGTGGCCTCAAAATTGGCAAACATCGGTGAGATTCCTGATCCAGACATCACCACCACCACCATCATAATCAACAACAACTGCCATTCGCCACTAAGTGGCGGTGACATCACCACGATACTTTTGCCAGGCTATGTGCACGTTGAGGCCATGTGAAGTGTCGAACGCCCACTGGCAGGAGGTCACGAATGCCTCCAACTGCCCAGTAGCGTGCCTTCACGAGCCGCCTCCACAGAGGCCGATCTTGAAACTGCTGATACCAGTCATCGGCAAGTCCACTCAGCTCCACATCCTCTTATACCACATCACTCCATCTCTTTTCTAGCCCACGCGGCGCCCTTTAGCCCCCTCTATCCTGCTGAACAAAAGCTGTTTAGGCATGTGGTGACTGGGCATGTGGACTACATGACCCAGCCAACGCAGCCTTGCCTGCCGGCGGAGCTCACTGATGGGATTTGTGAGCTCCTCACACAATGCAGCCTGGTTAAACCCAGGATGGATCGTAGGCAGGCCAGCCTAAATGTTTCTAACTGGCGAAGATGTTCCATTGGGGGTGCAAGCATAGAGAAGGGAGGGAATGACTGTGACCGAGAAGACCTGAAGCTTCGTGTGGAGCGAGGAGCGACAGACCAGTTCGCTTCCATACAGCGTTACGCAGCCAGCACAAATATAATTCCACTCGACTGATGTGGATGTGAGACTTCTGCTGTCAACCGGAGCTGGCCATGAGCACACTGCCCAGGTTAGGAAACTCTCCACTCCCCCCACAACTGCCCCATCACCAATGGGGAGTTGAGGGGGTAGAACTTTTTAAGGCACAAAATACCCAGGCAGGTGCTTAGTTTTGGATGGGCTGATGGGAAGGCCCCATTTCTTAGTGTCTCACTCCAGGTTCAGCAGCAGCACCTCCAACTCCTCCTCTGAGCGAGCAGCAATCACCAGATCATCGGCATACGTAACATGGTTGGCCAATAGGGAGCCATCCCTTGACCGCACCCGGGCACCGATCAACCTCGCATTGTATCTGTACCAGATGGAGTTTCCTCCAGTACAGCCATAGAAGCTTCACAAACTAAATAGTAAAAAAAGATGTAAAATAATGTGGGAGCCAGAGGATATCCCTGTCACACCCCAAGGTGAACGGGGAATGGCTCCGACTGCTGGCCACATCGCTTTACCCAGGCCTGCCCACCACCATGAAGGCCTTTCATGATTTTGAGTAGAGAGTCGGTGACTCCAAAGGCATGATGAACAACCTCGAGCCCAGGCCTATTGATGGTATCATAGGCCTTGCCCAGGTCAATAAAGCAGAGATGCAGGTCCTGTGGGAATTCCCTACACAAATGGCACCCTTCCTCACTATTTCGCTTTGGAGATCATCTCTGCCTGGCACTTTTCCTGGTCTCAGACTTTGGATCACCTTTTTTACTTCCTCAACAGATGGCACTTCAGCCAGCCACTCACAGGGGGTGACAACTTCTGCCAATTTTTGAGGCACCGCAGCCTCGGCAGGGTCATCCCCACTTTGCCCCATGATGTTTTCCAGTTTGAGCGATTTTCCTTCTCCCAAGACGGCTCTCCGAAACTCCGAGCAAAGGCTGCGGTAAGCCTCCTCAATCTCTGATGTGGGATGCTGTATATGGTGAGAGTGGGCCTGTCGCTTTTTCTCAGCCAGCCGGAACACCTCCTCTGTCAGCCAGGGTCTCTGGCTCACAGAGCAGCCATTGCAGCTGCATGAGCCACAGTCCTAAACCTCGCCCATTTCCTCTCGGTATCAGGAGGAGAGGGGGGGGGGGGGCGATGCCAACCCCAGCTACAAGCAACCATGAAATTATCGCTTCCAACTTTCGTAAGCTAACTGAGACCAGGCCACTGTGGGTTTGAATTGGGCCCTAGATGTACACCCACCACCGGAGTAGAAGAATGGCAGTCACATCATAATCATCACCACCACCATGTTTATGTGTCTTTGCTGGCCACCTACCCCCTCGTGTGCCAAGCCGGCCTTCATCGGGGCTACTACTCGCTCACAGCCCTTGCCCCAACAGTCTGTTCCAGGCTATCCGGGGTCTTTGTCTTCGTATGTTAGTATGTGTGTGCTCGCTAACAACACTTGCCCCTACATCCTATTGAAGGCTATCTGGGGGACCCCTTTGCCTGTGGTGTTGCGACAGGGAGCGTGTCGCGAGAGAAGAGGGAGCGACGATTCTGCATCTTCATCTTCATCTTCCAGTTCATCAACCACTTCAGCTCCATCTTCTACGTGGCGTTCTTCCTGGGCAGGTGCAGAGACACACGTCATCTTGACACACACACAGAGACACACGCGGCCATCTTGACACACACAGAGACACACGTGGCCATCGTGACACACACAGAGACACACGCGGCCATCTTGACACACACAGAGACACACGCGGCCATCTTGACACACACAGAGACGCACGCGGCCATCGTGACACACACAGAGACGCACGCCATCGTGAAGCTGCTGCTGCTGCTGCTATGGACCTGTGCAGCTGCTGATCCTGTGTCTCTGCTGCGTGCAGGTTCATAGGGAGACCTGGCAACTACGCTCGCTGGTTTCAGTTGTACCGCCTAGAAGAGGTGAGCGTGTGTACACACATCACTGAAGACAAAGCTCCCCCGTGTAGCCCAACAGACTGTAGGGGCAAGTGCTGTTAGTAGGGCACGCGGCGGTGGCTAGGAGATATCATCTCCCTCGCCTGGGACGCAGGAGGTCGTGGACTCGACGCCGAGCCTGACTGGCTGCGCCTGCCGCCGTCTATTTGGCGTCTGCGTCTCTCTCCCCTGTCGTGGTCGCGTGGATTTGTCTCGAGCTCCTCCGGATTTTCTCTCCACGTTTAGAATCAACGTCACGTTTAGAGTATTTGGCTGCTGGTGTAAATGTTCAGATGATGATATCAGCCACGTGGTAGAGCGATCATTTGTGATGGCAAGGTCGCTTGTCTGGTAAAAACACCAAAATAGTTGAGTTATCATGTGGGCCTCGATGCGTACGGGTCTCTATGGTTCTATATGAGTGTCTGGATCTCCTTGGATCTATGGGTCTCTATGGGTCTCTGTGGGTCTCTATGGATCTTTGTGGGTCTATGTCGGCCTCTGAGTCTCTGTAGGTCTATTAGTCTCTATTCATCTCTGTGGGTCCCTATGGATCTATATGAGTCTGTATCTCTGTGGTCTTTGAGTCTCTGTGGTCTTTGAGTCTCTGTGGGTCTCGGTGAGTC